TCACAACGTTTTGCTGTGAAGTTTCAAGTGTAAAAAAGTGATCTCACGGTTCTCATGAAAACAGGCTGGTCTCACGTGAACCCAACCATATATATATATATATATATATATATATATAGAGAGAGAGAGAGAGAGAGAGAGAGAGATGAACGATCAAATGCAAACCACCCATATTTGTACAAATTGTGCTAATCATCCTCATCCGTCGATTTCATTATTTAATCTTATGACATTTTTTTATGAAATTGTTTAATTTTATGAAATTGTTTCATACAATATTTTTTTTATGAAGTTGTTTCATATATGGTTATGAAATTTTAATGAAACCGTTTCATGTATTTCTCTAAAATTAATATAATGAAGATGATAATATCCACGATTAACACCCTCCACAATGAAAATGATTAACCAATCTATCATAATTCCAACAAAAAAATTAACAAAATGAAAAATTATGATTAGTTAAATAAGATTTATATAGTTTATACAAATAACGTGGTTTACAAAGGAAACCTCTCATGTTTGTATATATATGTTTTAATAAATAAATCAAGTGAATAGACTTATGAAGGAAGGTGTACACTGTAGTCTGTATGTATACATTTAATTGGGGAAACAGATTGTATTGGAGAAAAGTGAAATGAAGAAAAAACACAGTGAAAAAGTAATTTTAATGTGGTAAAAACAAGATGTTCATTTATTTATCCAATTTATATTTGTGTTAAATTTAGGGTTTGTTTGTTTACCTCTTAATAGTTTCATTAAAAGATAACATTTGAATCGTTAAGAGGTGAATCTTGTTTGACAAAAAAAAAGTCTTGACCTTTAATGCTTTTAATACCATCTGAATGATTTTGTATCATTAGTCTCTCTTAACCATTAAGCACCCTAATTTTATTGTAAACAGTTACCAAACAATTATATTTCATTTTGCACTAAATCATGAAAGCCTCTTAATCATTCTGACCATTTAATCATTTTGCATCAAACCATTCGGCAACTGCCAAACAACTTCTTACATATTACCAATGTATTTTAAGCCAAATTTTTATTTTTAATTAATATATTTTTATGTAAAAATAACAATATATTTTTATTTTTAATATCAGATGTGGGACCTGGATATCTGTTAAAGATTCTTGTATGAATTGTATCATCGTATTGTTTGAAGATCATGTTTTTAGCAAGAATATTGTTCTATTTTTAGTATCTTATTTTTATTAGCAGATTTTATTCCTGGAAAGTATAATTAAGGGGTTGTTTGTTTACCTCTTAATAGTTTCATTAAGAAGCAACATCTGAATTGTTAAAAGGTGAATCTTGTTTGGCAAAAATAAAAGTCTGTATTTTAATGGTTCCAAAACTCTTTGAATGATTTTGTATCTTGGATCTCCCTTAAGCATTAAGGGCCCTAATTTTATTGTACACAATTAGTAAACAATTATATTTCATTTTGCACTGTATCATGAGAGTCTCTTAATCATTCTGACCATTTAATCATTCTGCACCAAACCATTCAGCAATTGCCAAACAGCCCCCAATAACCTATTTTCATTCGAGCTTAGCATATTTGGGTGAAAAATTGATTACCAGCAATTCAACCGGACCATACGGAACCCGCTAGCTTCCAATTGTGAGGGAGCATTTTTTGTCTCACTCGACGGCTGAGGCTAGCCAGGCGCTACTACTTTGTTTAGGTTAGTGATTGATATCTTAGAACCGCAATTGGTGACTCACTTAAGTAATGGGGAAAACGAATTGAATACATACACGGGAGAATCTCTGAGTGTCGGATCTAGTGATCCGATGGTGCCGAGTGGAAGGGCCGTTGAGCGAACACAGGACGTGTCTGAACCTAACATATTATTAACTATTAAGTAGAAGATGTCCTAGTCTAAATTTTTTAATAGCTTACTATTATTATTAATATAATTTATAATAAAATCCCTAAAATAGAGAATATATAGGAGATGATTGTAATTTTGTTAGAAAATTATGTTTTCATTCTCTATTTTAAACAAATTATAAAAAAAAAAACCTGTTGGAGATGCTTTAAAATAAAAGAGGAGATAACAAAAAAACTTAAAAAGAAAATGTTGGGCCAAATAAATTGGGCCGATGGCTCGTACATGGCCCAAACTGGTTGTTTTATTAGTTACCACTTAACCATTTTGTTAGTGCAAAAGAATAATATTTAATTGATGGAGATGTCTTGTGCTTTGGGTCTTTCACTCTCTAGCATTTTTAATTGTTATATATATATATATATATATATGAGCGATCAAATGAAAACCACCCTCATTTGTAAAAATCGTACAAACTACCTTCATACGTCGATTTCATTGTTTAATCTTATGAAATTTTTTCATGAAATTGTTTAATCTTGTGAAATTGTTTAATATAATACTTTTTTTGATGAAATTGTTTCATATATGATTATGAAATTGTCTCATATACTACTTAATGAAATTTTAATGAAACTGTTTCATGTATTTCTCTAAAATTAAAATAATGAAGATGATAATATCCATGATAAACATCCTCCACAATAAAAATGATTAATCAATCTCTTATAATTACAAAAAAATGAACAAAATAAAAAATTATGATTGGTGGAATGAGGTCTTTACGGTTTTTACAAATTGAGTGGTTTTCATTTGATCGCTTCCCTATATACATATATATATATATATATATATATATATAATAATAATAATACTACACAAAGAACATATGTTTATTAATATGTATAAATAATTTATTAAATTTAAATTTAATATTGTAAAAAACATTTAAAAATACAAAAAGAATAATTAATAATACAACACAAAGAACATATATTGCCTAATAAGATACTTTTGATACTTGTATCCTCAAAACATCAAAACTATATCGGTTATAAAGGTGAAATTATATCAGAACACTGCATTTGTAGGTTTCTTTCTATACCAGATTCACATCAGATTCAGTTAACTGCTCATATCAAACTAGTTTATTTATTTATTTATACTTGTTCTGTATATTATATTCAATTTACTCAACATATACATATATTATAAATCTATGTATGTGTATTATGTTTGTTAACTTAGATTCTAACACACCATACAAAATAGAATGAAATAACTCGAATATCAAATATATCATGCTGATTTTTAGATGAATCTGTTACGATCATCCCCTATGAACAACAATATAATCAAAACGGCACATTTTATATGGACACGTGCTAATGCACGTATTAGCACGTGCCAATCAACAATCAAGTGCCATCCTTTAATTCTTTTTGCTAAAAAGAATGTCTGTAATAAATAACACATATTTTCATTGTGTTTTCAATTATGTTGCTGCATTGGTCCCAGTTCAAAAGTACCAGGAGGTCACAGGTTCAAATCCAAGGAGGAATAAAAATCCCCTTGTGGCCACGAAGGTTCAAATGCGGTGACTTCGGGCTATATGCAAAGCAGGTGGTCGCTCTGAGATTAGTCGGCTCGCATAGCGGGTTGGATATCCAGGTTAATAAAAAAAATGTTGCTGCATTTAAAAAATTCTTTTTATTCTATCATATCGTGCTATATCATACGTAAGCAGAATACTTAAAACATATATTTAGACGCGTCGGGTGATATGATAATCTTTCTCAACAACGTTAAGCAGTCATAACATAGTAAACGAAGCATAACATAAAACGTTTAGCACTTGACTAGACTCTCTTCTTTCTCTTACCATTATCGTTATTCACATACACTGAGATACATATTAATAGTCAGTTTTTAAACTCATTAAATTTTATGGGTTTCGAAAGAAAATATTGTATCGAAACATGAGATCCAAGATACCCAAAAAACAGTTATGCAAATAAACTCTGTCACATTTGCACACATGCAAAATCATACTTTTCATGAGAGGTGAATCTTGTTTGGCAAAAAAAAGTCTGTCTCTTAATGATTCTAAAACCATCTAAATGATTTTGTATCGTGAGCCTCCCTTAACCATTCAGCGCCCTAATTTCATTGTAAACAATTACCAAACAATTATATTTTATTTTGCACTATATCATGAGAGCCTCTTAATCATTCTGATCACTTAATCATTTTGTACCAAACTATTCAGCAACTGTCAAACTGCCTCTAAGTACTCAAGTCATAATATATTTTAAAATATATTATACATATAATAAGATAGGAGAATGAACAAATGCAAATGAAACTATTTGTACAAACCTTACAAACCACTGATTTTATTCTTTAGTTTAATGAAATTGTTTCATATATTTGTGTTTACGTGTACAAATAAAATTGTTTCATGTATTTCTCATTTTGATTAAATTTGTTTTCTAAAATTAATATAATGAAGATGATAATGCATATCATTAAAAATGACTAATCAACTCTAATATTTAAAAAAAATAAAAAATAAAAATGATAATTAATTGAATTAGGTTTGTACAGCCTGTACAAATTACTTGGTTTACATTTATGGGGTGTTTGGGATTGATTATTTGAAACAACTTATAATTTTCTACAAAAGTCCTTATCAATTTATTATAAATTAAAATGATTTAACTTCTTCAAAAACTACTTATTACTGGTTTGGCACCGGTATAAGCTGTTTATCCAAACACTCAAAGTGTTTCTTACCAGTTCCCCAACGAAATAAATCAAAAAGTTTTTTTAATAAGCAATCCCAAACCCCCACTTAGGGGGTGTTTGAGATTGCTTATCTGAAACAACTTATGCTTTTCTACAAAAACACTTATCAACTTATTATAAGTCAGAAGAGTTTAACTTATTCAAAAACTGCTTATTACCGGTTTGACACCGGTATAAGTTGTTTATCCAAACACTCAAAAATACTTATTACCGATGCCACAACAGAATAAGTCAATAAATTGTTTTTATAAGCAATCCCAAACACCCGTTATTCCATCATCAAAACGATATTATTTCTCTTCATTTTATTAATTTCCCATGCATCGTTGATTGTACCCAATGATACAATCTTGTGAAGAATTTGATCAACCAATCCCAGATCGGATTCGGATCATCGTCAAGAAAACGCTACTGTTAAATGTTAACAAAGATAAATCATCAAAAAAAATTTGGGTACTCACATTCTCCTCTTGATCCCTTCTCCGATTCGCAATTCCGTCTTCTTTTCTTGAAAATCTGAGTAGCCCATCAGTTGAATCGCCATGGAATGTTAATACCTCGTTTCATTTCAATCAGGCAAATCATCGAACAGTTGGTGTGCGTTTGGACAGACCAAAATTGTTGGATCGTGACAAAATTGGAGTGATGTCGCTCCCGTTTATGAAGCTTGGGACGCTTGCATTGAGAACCCTAAGCAAACCCATTGCTGTTAGGCTCAAAAAAGAAGCTGCCATCAACCCCAATTTTCGAACCGCCATCATGGCTGTCGCTCAGGTACAGTTACCACTACACCTAGTTCTGCTTCTGATTCATACTGATTGTTGACTTGTACATGTTACCATTTGATCGTTTGATTTTGATTACTTTGTTCTTGTGGGGTTTATGATTGATGAGGAAGCAACTCAATTGTCTTCTTTATGTATTGTTCTAATTCATACCGAAAGTAGTGCTCGAGAGGACTAGAATGTATGCAGACTTTACCTGGGGTTGAAATTTAAGCCGTATCCATGAAGACCCCGGCTTGCGAAAATGTTTGTGGGTTTGGTACGCAGAGGGCCGAGAGTGAGCTAGGACTTGTTTGTTAGCTGCTTAATGGGACCTGCAGCTTATCCGGTCAGCTATACATAAGTGGTTGATAGTGGCTTAATGATATAGAAATCAACTTATTCAATAAGTTTATAAGGGCAACTTTATGCACAAAGACAAGTTTTTTTTTCCAAGCCTGCTCCTCCAGGTTAAGAAAACATGCTCCTTCTGTCTATGAAAACACTTTCCCAAACAAAAACATTTCTGATCTATACACACAGATTAATCCATATCTTTATCCATCCCTGACTTAATGGAAAACCATCCAAACAACCCCTTAGTCAACAAAAGAATTGTTGAAGGTTTTAGGGTTTCTAATTTGACTTGGATAGTTTAGTATTTTATCAATCTTGTCCGTCTTCCTAATTTTTGTTCCACCTATTTTAATGGGAAGCAAAAGATGCATTTTTGGATGGATTGTTGCTTAACTTATTGAGTTTTCGGTCTAGTTGAGGTTTATGTTTCACGAGAACAGGGTTGGGCACATTTTGAACCATTATTTATAGCTCGACAGTCGGACAAAAACATCCAAAAAACGCTGATTCTTTCAAATCATAGTGGTTTTTTTTTGACAAAATATCAAGAATAACGGTTGATTTAAACGAAATTCTAAGTGGGACTAGTTGAATTGAATTGAATGATGGAACAGGCAAACCATCGGTTCACGACAACAGTGCAAAGACGGATATATGGACGTGATACAGATGTTAAAATTCGGCCTTTGGATGAGGAACGAGCCGTTCAGGTAGCCGGTGACCTTATTGGCGAGCTCTTTGTTTTCACGGTACTCACATATTCCTGCAAATTTTCTTTCTTTATCATTTACAAAACTATGTTCGCCATTGATCCCATGAATATTGCAGCATTTGACTTAACACATCGCTTAACAGTAATCAAACCCTAAACCCCAAACCCCAAACCCTAAACCTGTTTGGCTCTTAATTAGATGTATTTAGTATTATGTAAATATGTGTTTTAAATCATTGCCTTATATTCAAGAAACTTGTTAATCCAATAAAGATTCAGTATTTGTAAGGGAGGTAACATCTTTTGTACTGTCTTTTTCATTTTTCATAGTGAACTATCTACTATCTACCCGTGCAATGCAGCGAGATGTAAAAGTTTACTGTAAACAGATAACAGAACTTAATGCAATTCTTTTAGAAAAATAAGATCCGAAAGTTATGGATTATTTTGTCGTAGTATTAGTAGTGGTCAACGCTTATCCTATGTTTGAACGTGTTTATCAATATGTTTTATGGAGTTCAAACATGAAGCTTTAAAAAGTTGTACAATATGCAATAGTTCAATAATAAGTTGGAAATTTGAATTTTAAGAGATTATGTACTAATAAACAATATATAATGCTAAATCAGTTGTTTTTAAGTGTTCTTTTACCAAATGCTTTATAATATAGCATAGATATGTGGGCATACACTATCACATTGATGTGGAACCAGTGGCGGACAAAGGATCTTTGTCGAGCGGCTGCATCTTTAAGGTGGATCAAAGGTCCGCAAAGTCGCTGGATGTCCTTTTAGCTGAAATACCGCTTTTGAGGGACTTTTGAAGTTTCTTGGTCGATTTCGAGGAACTTTTTTCGGTTTTTTGGTTGATATTGCTTATATTTTCAAATATCCCGGGGAATCCCTCAAAGTTTAGCAGGTGAACCTTTCATACTAAAAAAATCCTACTTGCGAAAATAAGTGAGCGGATGCATGAGAGCATGAGAGCCCGCTCGGACATACGTAGGTCCGCCTCTGTGTGGAACCACGTAAATTCGGGGGTTGTCTCATCTTGTATTTTGTATGCTTAAATTTCGTTTTTCATTTATTGGGACGTGAGATCACTACTAGGAAGTTGACTTTCACCAACGGAATTTTTCGCACTGCTTTAGTGGCGTATTACCAGCGGATCCGGGAAATTTGACTTTTTTTCAGGAGTTTCACTGACGGAAATTTGCAGTTGTATCGTAACATGTTTAATTATTTAATAACAGTTTAGATTTTGAATTTTCGGTTAGGTTGCCGGAGCTGTCGTTATTTTTGAAGTGCAAAGAAGTGCTAGATCCGAAGCCAAAAAAGAAGAAGCCCGCAAGAAAGAAATCGAGGTAAAATGCTAACCTTTTTTCTGACATTTAATTACATGAATACCCGTTCACAAAAGGTTTATGAAATGTTTACATAAGAATTCTGGCGAAATGGATGATAAACTTGATGTTTACGTCATCAAATGTTACATTAAATAGGAAGAATTTGAAACTTTGTTATTTGGGTGACCATTTTAGCCTCATAGAGCGTGACGTCATAGGTTTGAACCATTTTCCAAGCGTCTCAAGGATTTTGTTGATAAAAAACACAAAGTAAAAGTCTGCCTCTTAATGGTTCTAAAACGCTCTGAATGATTTTGTATCCTGGATCTCCCTTAACCATTAAGAGCCTTAATTTCATTGTACACAATTACCAAACAATTATATTTCATTTTGCACTATATCATGAGAGCCTCTTAATCATTCTGCACCAAACCATTCAGCAATTGCCAAACAGCCCCAAAGACGAAGAAGACTAGCCGAGAGGTCTATTTAACTAAAGATACACTGATCTTAGGGATTGTTTGTTTTTTATCTTTATTTTTATAAGACGTATCTATGAATAAAATGAGTAGATAAGGACTTCCGTTGACTGTTTAATAATTAAGCTAAAACAAACACCGCTTAATGACTGAATGAATAAGCCATCATAAAAAACAAGCTTCGCATATTTTGTTCATCCGTTTCTTCTGTATTTATACAATAAGTTGGTCATTTTCATTGCAAAAAGCTCACTTTTATCTTTTCGGTGCATAGATTATGCGGCAACGCGATGAAAATTTAGCAAAACAAATGGAGCTTCTCGAGCTAAAGCTTGTTGAACTTGAGAAAACCACCAAAGCACAAGCGTTAGTGGACAGTCAAACCAAAGAGGTCAAGCGAGCAAACTCATCCTCTTGATCTATTCCGACCATGCTTTCGCTATTAATAACGCAGTTATACTTGATTCTTCGTGGGTACTGGAGCAAACTCGTTACATTTTACAGAGAGGTTGTTTCCACGACTCAAATCTATTACCTTCGGCTTGATCAACGCTTGCTATGTGTTTTTGTACCAATTTTTTCGGAAGGAAGAAACTTAGCTCATTACCCTTTCTATCTTGATTGGTTATATCGAAGTATTTAGAAAAATAATTTCATGTAGGTTTAGGATAGATCTGCCTACATGCCACCTCCAGACCCCATGTCTACAGTCAGATATATTGGATTCGTTTGATCTGGCACACTTTTGTGCGGTGGGAAATCTTTTATCTACATTATTCATAGGCTCAATATATAACGTTGTGAGGAAGAATCAAATTTTGTGGCACGTTTTCGGTAGTTATAGTCTTGAAAAAGTAAGAATATATTCATTTTGATCGTATATGAATTGTATATGTGCAAAAAAGTAAAGTTCAGTAATCCAATTTATGTACGGAAATTGATCACATATATTCCCCGGGCCATTCAGGATTCAAATTCCAGTTATATTGAATTTTGTGGACGAGATTGAAGATCGACAAACACGGCATAAAGGAACACATAATAAACGACAAAGATGGTGTCTGATTGGTTTGAGCTTGAGTCCAAAGGTCAAAAATGTCTGGTGGTCTTAGGTTCAAATCCAAGGAGGAATAAAAATCCCCTTGTGGCGACGGAGGTTCAAATGTAGAGTAATTATAAAGATGAAGAGTCTTACTCGATAAGTGAGGGTGACGACTCTTATCCGGGTAAGCGTTTACTGGATAAATTGTTGAATACGATACCATTATGAGATAAAATAAATTATAATGTTGACTCCTAATGTGAGACGAAAATGTTTGCCCCTGATTTTGTTAGTTCTTTTTCATTTTGAATTTCTTTTTCTGTATGACTTATTCCGTAATTAAGCCATACAAATTTGTTAAATTACGTTTATTTGGTCAGCCAAAAAAATAGAGGCCTCCAAATTCAGCCATTTATTTACTCGTTTATTTCCCTTTTACTCCTCCCTTCCTCCTCATTAGGGGTGCTCAAAAATTCGACCAACCCGATCAATCCAACCCAACCCAACCCAACGCGAAATAACCCAACCCGAAGCAACCCGATGTCTAATCGAGTTGTAAAATTGTCAAACCGTAGGTATTGGGTTGATATTGGGTTCCTATTATTTGAACCCAATCTAAACCGATGAACCCGATATCCTTTTATTTCTTGGAGTTAATATGATTGTTGAATTTCTATTAATATATACATTAGACAATTACACTATCATGTATGCTTTTCATATACACATATTTTCAATATATTCATATCTCTATATAACTCATTCAGTAACTGTGAACATATATATGTAAATTGAAAAAATTAACTGAATGTGATATACGTAAGAAATATGAATAAATTATATCAAATAGTTGATAATGAAAAAGAAATTATGAGTAGAGAAATAACATATTCAAGGTTAGAAGAATATTTTAATATACCAAAATATTAGGTCGATATCCTTTTATTTCTTGGGTTGCACTTTGGTTTGGGTTGGATTGGGTTAAGATTTTTCCAAACCGCAAGCATTAGATTGAGTTGTTCAAATGCCCTCAATCCGATCAACCCAACCCATGAGCACCCCTACTTCTCATCCCCTTCCTTCGTCTTCATCCACCATTCCTTTCAAATGTTTGCTCCTCCTCGATCCAAACAAAAGAACGACTGGCAGGTGCTCGATCAGCTTCAACAAAGAGCGATCTAGACAAAGATCGATTTATTTGCTCCTTTTGATCCAAATAAAAACCAGATCTTCTCCTCAACTTCAACAAATAGGTTTTTTTTACATCAACGATATCTGTTAAATATTGAAGACTTAACTGAGTCGTTAAGAAGAAACCAAAAGTTGTAAATGCTCTTTGAACTTATCCATCAACTGTTATAACCGTTAAAATTCCAATAACCATCGATCTATCATTTAAATATGTAAAATGAGAATCTGGGTTGATATCTCGATTTTCATAGCTTTTGAAAATAGAGATAAAACTCAAGAATTTTCGCAATACGAAATTCGTGGGCTTATTCGATCCCTTTTCTTCTCCTTAAAAAAAACAGTTCCCGAACAATATTTATGCTATTTAAAAAGTAGTCAATTTTATATAATTAAATGCCTAATCAACCATCGTATTTATTTTAATAAGAATACGATAATAAAGATTTTCATTCGATAATAAAGATTTTTTGCCGATGTGGGATCTCACAATCCACCCCTCTTGGGAGTCCATCCTTGTTGGCACACCTATTTGTAACATCACGAGCCAATTGTACCAGATATTGTTCGCTTTATCCATACCTGAACTCACAGTTTTAAAGCGTCTGTTATAAAAAGTATTCAGTCCCTTATAGTACAACTTTTGTTTCCCTCCCCAATCAATGTGGGATCTCACAGAATCAGATTTCAAAATCTCCAAAAAATTACATTCAACTCCAATTGCTTATTTATTTAGAGATTGCAACATTAATTATATTATACACATTTAGAAAATACCATTTCTCTCTCCTAAATATTTAATTTCAAAGTTATTAATGACTGAGAATCCAATAAAAAATTATTTCTCTTATGAAAACCATTTTTAGGAGTTCTCCAAATTTGGAGAAAATTTTAGAGCAAAAAATTTACCAAAAATCTCAAATAATCAATTTTGGAGAAGGTGAATGATCGAGTGAGAATGAGAGTTAAATGCGAGAAGCATAAAAAGAAATCTAGACCATTGATCATCTTTAATTTCAACTCATCCATGAAGCGCGCTTAATACGTGGATTGATCCGGTGGATCTTGATGCATCTAAAAGTGGAGATCTATTATCATGCTTTTCACCTTAACTCTCTTTCTTACTCCATGCCAACCATTTGGTAGAGTAGGAGATAATAAAATTTAGAGTAAATTATGTTTTTAGTCCCTATAGTTTGTTAAAAATTATGATTTTAGTCCCTATAGTTTGTTAAAAATTATGATTTTTATCCACATGGTCTAGAAATTGCAATTTGGTCACTATAGTTTATAATTCTTTACTATTTTTGTCCTTATGATTTACAAAATAGTTGAATAGAAATGACATGTAAAATAATAAACTGCTCATGTCAAACTAAAAATGTAAAACCTTTCGCAATTCATTTAGTATGTCCAAAAGATTTCCCAAAAGGGAGAATATGTAATATCGCGGGCCAACCACACCAGATATTGTCCGTTTTGTTCACACTTGTATTCACGGTTTTTTAACGTATATAATAGAGAAGATATTCAGTCTCTTATAAATCAGTTTTTGTTCTCCTCCCCAACCGATGTGGGATATCATAATCCACCCCTCTTGGGGAGCCCAACGTCCTCGTTGGCACACCTATTTGTAACATCATAGACCAACCATATCAGAGATTGTTCGCTTTGTCCGCACCTAAACTCATAGTTTTAAAGAGTCTGATAGATGAGGTATTCAGTCCTTATAAGACATCTTTTATTTCCCTCGCCAATCGATGTGGGATCTCACAAAATCAGATTTCAAAATCTCCAAAAAAATTACATTCAACTCCAACTGCATATTTATCTTAAAGATTACAACATTGATTATATTATATTTATTTAAAAAAAATACCATTTATCTCTTCTAATTATTTAATTTCAAAGTTATTTATGGGTGGGAATTCAATAAAAAATTATTTCTTTTATGAAAACCATTTTTGGGAATTTTCTTCAAATTTGGAGAAAGTTTTAGAGAATCTGTTAGAGCATAAAATTTGTCCAGAAATCCCAAATAATCATTTTTGGAGAAGGTGAAGTATTGTGTGAGAATGAGAGTTAAGACAAGAAGCGTAAAAAAGGATCTGGACCATCGATCACCTTTACTTTCAATCTCACCTATGAATCGTGCTTGATATGTGAATTAATCCGGTGCATCTTGGTGCATCTCATTCTAATGTGGATCTAAAAGTGAAGATTTCTTCTTATACTTCTCAGCTTAACTCTTTTTCTCACCGTAACCAATCCTTTATAGAATAGGAGATAATAAAATTTAGACTAAGTTACGTTTTTAGTCCCTATGTTTTGCTAAAAATTACGATTTTTGTCCCTGTAGTCTAGAAATTATGATTTCGTCACTATAGTTTATAATTCTTTACTATTTTTATCCTTATGATCTAAAGACATAAATTAGTCTAGAGATGAAAATAACAATAAGTTGCAAACCATATAAACGAAAATTACGATTTCTAAACCACAAAAGCGAAAATCGAAATTACCAACAAATCACAACCACAAAAATTGTAATTTACTCTAAGGGGTTGTTTACCAAACGCTTACCCGAGTAAACACTTATTAAGTGACGTTTGGATGAATATAATAACTGATAAGTACCAATAATTTTACCCTGTAAGAGCAAAGACAAGTATCAAGAGTTTTATCCGGTAAGTAAGAGCGACGACTCTTAGCACGGTTAGCGCTTACCGGGTAAATTGTTGCATTTGATATCATTTTGGTGTATTAAAATCTTACCCAGTAAGTAAGTAATAATGCTGAATTTTGTCGATAAGCACCTACTTAGATAAGTGTATGGTAAACGGCCCCTAAAATTTAATTTGTAGTTTTTATTAAAAAAAATAAAATAAGAGTCCTAGCCAATGACTCAGTTGCGATCAAGATCACATTTGAAAAGAATATTAAAAGAACAGTTTTCTCGTCGTATATATTCCCTAAGAAACTTTTGCCGCCGAGATTCACTTAATATGCTCAATTTCTTCTATATACCAAATTCGATCCAAACCCTTGTTCATTTCCTCCCCATTTCCATACCAAAACACAGGTAATTTTCAATCATTCTCTTCAATCTTCATCAGAATTGTGGTTTTCCCCCAATCGTTTTGCTATTTCCATATAAGATTCGCGATTTTTCCCTCGGATTCAGATTGATTTTTTTGCCTTTTCGTTCATCGAATTCAGTATGGTTTTACCGAATTTTGAATCAGACGATTGATACATTGATCACTGTAGCCACGGCCTAGTTCGAATTTACTGTAAAATTTTGGGTTCTTTTCGTATAATCGGATGGTTTTCGTGTTGATTTTTGCAGGCGATTGTTGAATTAGGTCATATTATTTCTGATCGTTAGAATGGGGAAAGGTACAAAATCTCACAGGATATTCAAGGATCGGGCGATGAATCGTGTGGATGATCTTCAGGGGATGTTCATGGATCTACAATCTGCAAGAAAGGAGAGCCGTAAGATCGATATGGCTTTACTTGAAGAACAAGTTCATCAGATGCTTAAGGAATGGAAGAAGGAACTTAACGAGCCTTCCCCTGCATCTTCTTTGCAGCAGGTATTGTTAAATTACACTTGAATTTGAATTTGCAGTTTGCAATTTGGATAAGGGTTTTGATCTTGATCAGCTATTTAGCTTGAATTACCTTTTCAAAAACCGAATTTAACCATTTAGGACTGTTTCACTCTTTGATTTGGGGGATTTGGCGAGATTTGGAATTGTATTTCAAGAGGCTTATGGTTTAAAGGAATATTTGGAATTGAAATTCGATAAATACCAGATTTAGTAATCACTGGGATCGCTGGTATTAAGTCGGATTTCTTAGGATTTGTTTGTAATAATATTTTAAAATATTTTAAAACATTTGTTTTCGTAATAATTAACTAGAAGAGTACTCGTGCAATGCAACGAGATACATCTTCATTTTAATATTTCATTTTATTTTTTGTTTCTGTTAATATAATACGGTTTATGTGGTTTTAAGAAAGATAATATTTTTACTTTTGAATAAAAATAAATTTGAATACATCGTAAAATTTGAAAAATTATATCGATATTAATATCAAATTAACTATTTAAACGTTTTCGTTTTTTGTACAATTTTTCTGATTCAATTTTTTTTATTATAATTTAATTTAGGTTAAATAGTGAAGTAATTTATTTTTGGTTTAACAATAAATATTTTATCAAGATAATGATTCTGTTAGAACTCAATGATTATCCTAATTATATTTTAAATTTTTTATATTTAAAATGAGATGTTTATCTTGTATTTAATTATATTTATCTGTAGTTAGTTATACGAATTAAAAAATGAAGCTTTAATAAGTTGTACTTGCGCACAATTTATTTGTAATCTTAAATTAAGTAATATGCATTTATACACAGTACTTCAAGCATAAAAAATGGTTTTTAAGAGTTTTTGTCAAATGCTTTATAATATAGTATAGATTAATAAAAGATAATTATTAATTTTAAAATTATTTAAATTTTTTGTTTTTTTATATTTATCTATAAAGATTGAAAATTTAATACCATTACAAATCCTACAAACCAAACACACCGAAGATTCCAAATGCTTCCAATTCCAATTCCAATTCCAATTCCAATTCCAAATCCTTCCACGAAATCCAGATCCCTCAAAAATGTTTTGTCAAAACAGACGCCTGCTTTGTGTATTTCTAAGTTTTCCTTTGTTTGTAGGATTGAATTGGATTTGGAATTTAATTCCATTCTAATCCAGTGTTTGGTTTGAGGGATTGCATGGATTTGAAATCTCAAAAACATGAGATTTAGAAATACCATGGGGTAGTCGGTATTTTGCATGATTCGTTTGTATTAATGTTTTAAAATATATTCAAAATACAACTAATAAAAAATAATTTAATTAATTTTATAATTTACTTTTATAAATAATGGAATTCAATTCCATTCCAAATCCTACAAAACAAGCACACCAAAGATTCCAAATCATCTCAATTCCAAATCCTTACACAAAATCCAAATCCTCCAAAAACATTCCGTCAAACCAAACAGGCCGCAAGTATTTATTGGAGCAGTTTTGAAATGGGCTATTTGGTTAAATGGCCTCCCGAAATGTTTCTTTTAAATCCATGACCTTTTAATAAATTTAAGGATGTCTTTGTCTAAAAAAAGAATGCATATTCCTAACACAAGATTGTCTCAAAATCAGTCATTGGATCTTAAATAAACTGTCACATGTAGGGGTGCTCAAAAACCCGATGAACCCTACCAACCCAACCCGAATTAAAAAAAAAAACCAACCCGAGGTAACCCGATGCATGATCGATAAAAAGATTAGCCAACCCGACCTTATTGGGTTGGAATCGGGTCAGGCCCAAAAAAACCCGGCCAACCCGACAACCTGATGAACCCGACCTTAATTTTAGCTTTGAATTGTAGATGACAATCATGACATGACCAACCTCAACATCAAGAAAGCGAAAGCATCGGGGTTGGAAACGTCTAAAACTATTGTTGTTGATTGATGTATTATCATTTGATTTAAACATTTTTATTGTAATATCTAAATATTTGATGAACTTGCATGTTATCTTGAATGGTCGGTCGTATTTCAAAGGAAAGTTTCCTTTATTTTTATGTGATTTTACATTGTTTAAACACAACCCGATCAACCCGACCAACCCGACCAACCCGATCAACCCGAACGGGTTGGGTTGGGTTGGGTTGAACTTTTGTTTGGGTTGGGTTGAACTTTTGTTTGGGTTGGGTTGGGTTGAAAATTTTCAAACCGCCAACATTGGGTTGGGTTGTTAAAACGGCTCCAAACCGATCAACCCGGGCCGTGAGCACCCCTAGTCACAAGGGCATCTATCTAAATACTGCATTTTGAACCGGGGACCCAAGAATTTCTCTAAGCGGGCACACATTTAAAGTAGGTCCGCAAAATCACGGTTTGACCAGGGGGACAGTTGGCGCTGTCTGACCAGAGAATAGTCAATTATGTCGATTTGAGTAATAAAATACATTTTGTCAACCACAAGGGTGGTGCCTGATTGGTTTGAGTTTGTCTCCAAAGGTCAAAAGTACAAGGAGGTCTCAGGTTCAAATCCAAGAAGAATAAAAAATCCCCTTGTGGCCACAGAGGTTCAAATGCGGTGACTCCGGGCTATCTGCAAAGCAGGTCGTCCTTGGATTAGTCGGCTCGCATAGCGGGTTAGATATCCAGGTTAATAAAAAAAATACATTGTGTCAAATGGAATTGATTTTGATCTTCACAATAAATATATGTTAATGAGATAAAAAAGACGATTTTAAGATGAATTGGCTTTGAAAATAAAAATAAATCATGAAAAAAATATTAAAAACAAAGTGGGAGAAAATTTAATAAAAAATTGTCTTGTCATAGTGGTAATAATACTTATAATTGTACTGAGTTTGTGAGTTCAGTACTTCTAATTATAGTTTTATTGTTAATATTTTCAAAAATAGCTTTGTAGGACCTGAGTTAATGCCATCGGTACACCTTCAGCCCAAAGCTAAATGATAAAAAGTTAAACATATTTACTTGAAATAAATTCGAACTTTTTTATTTATTAACCTGGATATCCGACCCGTTATGCGAGCCGATTAATTCCAGGACGACCACCTGCTTTACAGATAGTTTGGAGTCACCGCATTTGAACCTCCGTGGTCACAAGGGGATTTTTATTCCTCCTTGAATTTGAACCTGAGACCTCCTGGTACTTTTGACCTTTGGAGCTAAGCTCAAACCAATCAGGCACCACACTTGTGGTTAACTGGTGTAACTTTTAGACGTCATGGTTTAACTGGTTTTCTTGATGCAGGGTGCAAGCTTAGTGTCTTTTTCCCCAGATATAAGTAGGCTGTTGCAGCTGTATGATGAGGAAGAAGATGATGCAACCAGTGGTTTAGCTGCCCCAAAACCTGACCCAGATGCCCAAAATGCCCCTGAAGATACTGCTTTTCACAAGGTGAATTTCTATATCTATCTTTTGATAATTGCATCACCTAATAACCCGATAAAATTGATCTTATAGGATGTCAAATATGTCTAAATGTTATAATACACAGCTTTTAAATGACTAAAGTTTATAGGACCACACAATTGTGCATGCTATGTAAAGGCGGTGCAATATGTTGATAGGATGCTTTTTTGTGTCATGACAAGATTTTTAGGACAATTTTGAAATGAAGCGTTTTATTAGTTATTATGTATAACATAATTTGAAAAAAAACTTCTTATAAAAACATGTGTCGGTAAAGGTGGTACTATATGTTTATGGGACGTAATACTGTTTTTTTATGTAGTACATAATTTGAAAATGTCGTCTTATAAGAACAAGGGTACTGTAAGGGGACGTTTACCAATACTTACCTGGGTAAATGCTTACCGGCAAAATTCAAAACTATCAATTACTTACTGGGTAAGATATTAGTCCACCAACACGGTATTGTATGCAACAATTAACCCGGTAAGTGCTAACCGTGGTAAGAGTTGTCACTATCACTTACCGGGTAAGACTCTCAGTCTTTGCCTTAGCTCTTACCGAGTAAGATTCTTGGTCGTTGCAATGTTGATTCGATAAGGTGATGTGACTTGGTAAGCGCTTACCCAGATAAGCATTTTGTAAACGGCCCCTAAGAAGATTATAGGACACTTATGTCGTATAAAAAAGCTAAAATGGCGTTTTATTTCAAATGTGCTCTAAATAATTGTTAGGAGGTCTATATGTTCTACCTTGTAACACCTTTATCAGTAGCTTGAGCGGGTGCACCTTTAAGGTAGATTAAAGGTAGGCAAAATTGCGGTTGACCTCGGGAGAAAGTCAACACGGTTTGATCTAGGGAAAAGTCAATTGTGTCGATTTGAGGAATAAGATACATAATTTCAAATGAAACGACCTTGAAGCATTAAATAAATATATGTTACCTTGAAAATGAGGTAAAAAACGACAATTTTTAAGATGAATTGATACTGGTTTCAAAGTATTTAAGGGCACTCTCAAAATCAAGCTGGTGCACTTTTCAGACGGATGATTATTTTTCTCTTGCAATAATCGAGTGAGCAGGCGTATGAGAGCCCGTTCAACTTCTAATAGGTTCAGCCCTGATCTTTATATAGGACACTCGGTCCTATAAACTTAGTTCTTATAAAGCAATCTACTAAGACATTTAGACATATTTAACGTTCTATAAAGCTGATTTTGTTGTAACCGACTGAGTGACAGGAATTTGGCTGAAACTAAAGAATGTGGATTTTATGTTGCAGAACTTTGTTGCAGCTCAGGTGGCTCAAGAACAAGGCTTTAAGTTGCTTGATCAATGCAAATATTTAGATTCCCCTTTCGGGATGAACACGACTGCAGTACATAATACGGGTGTCGATGCTCAACTTGATCATTTTTCGTTTGATTTGCCGCGTGAATTTGAGGAGAATTGTGTCAGTCGGTTTTACGGCATGTGGGGTGAAGATGGTTCGCATCCGATCACCGGCTTTCTGCCCAATATTTGCCCTCCACCTTCGGCTTTTCTTGGACCAAAATGTGCCCTTTGGGACTGCCCTAGACCCGCTCAAGCCTGGTGTTTCGAGAGGGCGGTTCAATGGTGGTGCAACATTTATTGCAGCCATTTGCATGCTGCAATTGCTCAAAACGAAGGTCAGCCAGGGATGAACCCGATTATACGACCTAAAGGCATCGAATTGAAGGATAATTTGCTTTTTTCCGCACTTTGTGCCAAGGCGCAGGGGAAAAACGTCGGTGTTCCCGAGTGCGAAGGGGCCGCCACTGCAAAATCGCCATGGAATGCTCCTGGTTAGTCTATTTGCACTACAACAAAATCGGTTTTATAGGACGTCATATTATGTCTAAGTGTCATAATAGATTGCTTTATAGGACATCAGTTCACAGGACCAAGTAACTGTCTGTCTTATTTAATGTGTTACAAGCAGTTGATAACACGTTTTTCAGAGTTCTAACAAATTTTTTAGGACAATTTTGAAATAAAACATCATATTAGTATTTTAAACATTTATTTAAAAAAGTGTCTTATAAAAATAAATGGCGCATCTATTTTTTAGGACATCTTTAGAATGTTATAAAGCCGATTTTGTTGTGATGGGTTCTTTCGTTCTTTTTCTTGTCATTCGACACTTTATTTATGCCGCATCCATTTGAAATTCTTCAGAGCTATTTGATCTCTCGGTTTTTGAGGGAGAAACGATAAGGGAGTGGTTGTTTTTCGACAAGCCACGAAGGGCGTTCGAGAGTGGAAACCGAAAGCAAAGATCGCTCCCGGATTACAACGGGCGGGGTTGGCATGAATCAAGAAAGCAAGTGATCAATGAATCGGGATGGCTGAAGAGATCGTATTATATGGATCCGCAGCCCATGAAGTTTCTCGAATGGCATCTTTACGAGTACGAAATCAGTAAGTATGATGCTTGTGCCTTGTATCGGTTGGAATTGAAGCTCGTGGACCGGAAAAGGAGTACAAAGGGAAAGATTGGCGACGCCTCGCTTGTCGATCTTCAGAAACAAATGGGAAGACTTTCGGCCGAGTTTCGATTGGAGAACAACAAACGGTCGGTTAAAGGGAGGGGAAGAGCCTCGGCAACGGTTTACCCTGCTTCGAGCCAAACCGCACCTACAACGGATGTCGTTGATTATGGAGCAAATGCGGGATTCAACTATCTTATGGAGGATCTCGGTGGCTACTACTTAACATAGTCGGATGACACTACAACAAAATTGATTTTATAAGATGTTGAAGTGTTATAATAAACTGTTTAACAGGAATTGAGTTTATAGGATCAAACAATTATGCGACCTATATAAAGGTGTTATAATATGATATTAGGATGTATTTGGGCATTGTTTCGAGTTTTTACGACACTTTTGAAATAAAATGCCGTTTTAGATTTTTTTTGTAACACCTCGTCCTATTAGTCCTAGGGCATGTCGCAACTGAAAACGGATCAAAAATCTGTAATGCAAAGTAGAGAGTTCTAACATAACTTTCCAAAATTATCACATTACATCCATCGGTAAACGTACATAAACATGTTTATAGTTTACATAACCAAAGCGTCGATTAAACGACTAGTCTTCTTGCCTCTTAAGCCATCTCGACCGATCATCCCGCCCTTGGCTGGGTTAGATCTTGAACCTGCCGAGGTAAAACAAAAGAAAACCTGGCTGATTCCACAAAGCGTCATGTCGACTTATTGTAACACTTTATGTATATGAAGCACAACCGTCTGGTCTTATAAACATACGTAATGTTAAGTGGACTACAAATTAGGACAGTTGACGTATAATGATGTCCTATAAAACTGATTTTGTTGTAGTGCTATCTCAAAAGGTATACGTGAAAAGTTGCAGTCGGTCGTCATCTGCAAGACGTTACAATAAAATGTTACCGTAACGAGTTCTTTACGATACTTTTGAAAAAAAAGAATGTCATTAGTTATTTATAGGATAGGTGTCCTACGAACACATCTTTTTACATGACACTTGTTTTTTGTACGACATTTTTTCATATAATGTCATATAAAAAACTAATATGACTCCGTATATCAAGTGTCAAAAACTTTGAGGATGTCAAAAAACATGCTATCAACTCATTGTAACACTTTTATATATAATGTACAATTGTTTGATCCTGTAAACTTAAGTTTTATAAGACATTTGAATTCCTATAAAATTGATTTTGTTATAGTGACTATTCAACCACCCAACCCTCCACCAATGTTCTTGCCAAAACCACTAATTAACTACAACTCTTATATAGACTTTGGGATCATGTGAGACAAAACTGTTTTTGTTAGACACGTGAGACAACATTTTTACACTTGAAATATCACAGCAAAACACTGTGAAGTAACCTTCATAGTGTTTTTGCTGTGAAGGTTCGATTTTTTTTTACGTTCATAACATTTTGTTTTGAAGTTTCAAGTGTAAATTTCCTAGCTCGACCTTTGAGGGTAACTTCTATAACCAAGATATCTGTGATCGGATAATCTACGATTAGATTATCCACGACCACTAGGTCCTTGACTTATGGTCGAACCGACTTACGACATACTAAACTCACGACATCTGCTATGCTAACCCGAATCCATTACCTCTGATAAAAGGATCAATCACCTTCGACACACCGAATCATCAGAGCACTACTGAAATCACGAAGACCAAATTACTGAAGCAATCTAGAAACTCATTATTGTTATCCCAAGTTTAAACACGACACGACATGTTTATTTACGATCGATAATTGTAACCGTTGACATCGATGACAACTTCCCTTATTGATGTCCGTAGCGCATCGATGATATTTCCTATCGTCTAAGATTTTTCCCTTGACAAAGGGTTTTCCGCATCATCAATTCTCTTGTTCTTTTCGTTTTTACTACTCATCGTGTTTTTCTCGAAGAATCCAATCTTTAGCTGTAAAGCTTCACAAACAAACCTTAAATTATTTCTAGTGTAATTTCTGGCATTAACAGTTTGACGCCAACCATTAGAGATCTTCTTAAGTTCGATGACATAATGACCATAGACAAGTGTATTAGTTAAACTAATAGTACCTGTCTGAATCAAATATGTTGGGATCGAGAAACATAATATTTGAACTAAAAGGGTGAGATAGATCTGTTTTAAATTCAAAACAAAATATCGTGAAGCAAATTGATAATAAATGATATTACTATATTATTGATTATATCAACCAGATTGCTCGAAGGAAAAACACATTTACAACCTTGGGGGAGTGATGTGTTGCTAGACGCTTACCACTGTCTGCGTTACTGTGTATTGTGTGTAGGTGGGAGAACGTAAGTTATTATATGCCCAAGACACGTGTCACAGATGGATGCTGTTGAGGAATATGCAAATCTATAGGATCACATACAAAGAATACATTTTCTTCCATTTGTAGAAACCCAGATTGAATCAAGTTGATTATGGTTATAATTATTCTTGGAAGATAATTTTGAAAATATGTGTACAAACGTAATTATGAAAATTACAGGGAATTATCTGTAAATATGTATACTTATATTAAAGTTTAAGATAACTATATATGTACAGATAGTTACTAAATATTATTTGAATTATAGTCTATCTATAATTCAGACCATATAAATAAGGTGCTAGGCTAAATCAATTATAACTGGTTGAAAACTAGAATTTAGCCTTTCGAAAATTATATAGAAAAGAAACATTTTCTTTTCTGTAATACACATATTGAGCTAGAGTTCTTGCACTAGCACCTGATGTGAGATCAACGCGTATTCGTGTGTAGATCACTGATAGAGGAATCCCATTTTGGATTCTAAGTACGACATCAAATCTACACCAGAGTTGTAAAAGGTATAATTCTAAACACTCTATTGTGTGTGATTTTAGTTAAATGTCTCATTGAATCCGGCTATGAGTTTTATCTTTGACAAGTTTTCTAATTTATTTGTAACAAAAAAATTACTGGTTTTTCCGCTGCGTTTAACGGTTGCAAATTCGCATTATAACCCAACACAAAGAAACCATAAGTAAATGACGTTAAAGCATTTGTGACCATGATATCAACGACCACAAAGGTCCCTGACCTGACCTACGGTCGTGGTTATCTACGGTCTCTAGGTCCTTGACCAATGGATATAAATATCCACGACTTCGAGACCCTCGACCCATGGTCGTGGTTATTTATGAAAAAGAGAAAAACTAACGACGACGAATGAGAAACTTACTTGTCATCTGCTCCTCTTATCTCCCCTTTCTCAACCTGTACGCTTGAGGTACCTAGAAAGGTAACGTCGTCTTCTCCCTTTTCGACCGATCGAATCCTAGAGATATTTCCTATATATCATTATTATTATCCATAGTGCATCAACGATATTTCCTATGATCTGCAGTTTTTCCCTCGACAAAGGGTTTTTTGCATCACCAATTCTCTTGTTCTTTTTGTTTTTATTACTTGTCGTGTTTATCTTTGGCCTAGCGGTATCGTAGCCCTTGGCCTTCTAGGAGGTCAGGGGTTCAAACCTCACCATAGGTGAGGAGGGTGTGAGAGTTTATTTGTTGCATTTGCCGTATATAAATATTATATACTTCAAAAAAAAAAAAAAACAAATCTTAAATTATTTTCAATGTAATTTTTGGCATTAACATATACATGGGTGAGAATGGAAGAGAACCCTGAAAAAAGAAGGGAAGGACCCATCCAAACCATTAGAATGAGATGATATCTCCAAACAAATATTCTTTGATACATTCATTTAGAGCAACATCCAGCTTTCTTGACAGCAGATACATCATCTTTACCTCCGATATTGATCGTTTGTCCCTTCGGTACAGGCGATGGGTCGTTAGAGATGCCAAGGGCTTTCCGACTCATAGCACGATAAATCTGAGTGAGGACTTGGGTGAAAGCGTTTTCGACGTTTAGTGCTTCTAGAGCGGATGTTTCCATGAAGAAAACGTTTTCTTTCTCAGAAAAAGCCTTAGCTTCTTCTATTTGAACGGCTCGTAGGTGATGAAGATCGGCCTTGTTTCCCACGAGCATGATCACAATGTTTTGGTCTGTGTGCTCCCGAAGCTCCTTTAGCCATCTTTCCACGTTTTCAAATGTCACTTTTCGGGTGATGTCATATACGATTAGAGCACCCACTGTTCCTCTGTAGTAAGCGCTCGTGATGGCTCGGTACCTGAAACGCTAGAAAATCAACACTATGCAGATGCTTTAGGATTGTGAACGAGATTTGAAATGAGTGATCGAACTTTTAACCATCAATATATTTTTTTTATCATAGATTAACCGACAAATAAAAATATAAAAAGGTACTGTGAGAATACTTGAAACCCCATTATATATGTTTCACCATATATTAAAAAGCAATGGCCAAAGTCTAACCGATCTGGGATTCCAACATCCACCTCCCAGATTGTCGAGAGGGGACGGGTACAAGTTGCCCTAGAAAATCGAGTCCTTAGAATCGTAGACTTTAACTAGCTCTATATCGTGTGAAATTACGAGAGAATATAATTGTTATAATAATAAACATAAACCACTAACCAACTAAATACTCACGTATATAACTTTAAATGAGATTTTAATTAAATTTGTGAATTCTGTCGTATTAAAAAGATGACTCATATTTATCAAAAGGGCATAGACTTATGATTAAATTACATTTTCCGTCCTTGTGGTTTGTTAAAATTACGATTTTGGTACCCGTGGTTTAGAAATTGTTGTTTTGGTCCCTATGGTGTACACTTATTTACTATGGTCCCTTGTACCTATAGGTAGTAATTAATTCATGAATGAGAATAACAATAAATTGCAAACTATAGGGACAAAAATCATAATTTCAAAATCATAGAACAAAAATCAAGATTATAACAAACCACAGGGATAGAAATCATAATTTACTCTAGATTTAATTAAAATCCCATTTAAGAGAGACGCGGTTTTTTTGTTAATATCAAGAAATTGAACGATTTATTTGATATATATGACTTGTAAACAAAAACAAGATATACAACATACCAATAAAAACGAAAGGAATAACGAACTCGACACCAAAAAACACAGGAAAAATAAGAACGAAATTACGGTAAAGAACAAGAATGCAGGATCTCGATCATGGGTTTCGATTAATCGAATCTGTATAAAGAAAAGTAATACCTTTCTTGTCCAGCAGTGTCCCAGATTTGGCCCTTGATGATCTTGTCATCAACACTAATGCTACGAGTGGCGAATTCGACCCCAATGGTGGATTTGGAATCGAGGCTGAATTCGTTCTTGGAGAATCGTGACAAAAGGTTGGATTTACCGACACCTGAATCGCCAATTAAAACTACCTTAAACAAGTAATCGTAGTTATCGTCTACATACGATCCCATTTCTCTTTCTCTCTATACAAAGGATTTGTGTTTATGGTTGAGAGAGAGAAAACATGTTGATGGAGATGGAGACGGAGACGGGGACAGAGATCAATGGTAAATAGAAGTTGCAAATATGGATTGCAAAATACTTTGTTTTCTTTGTTAGAAATTAGGGAAAAGAGAGGTTAAAATGGGAGTTTGTGTTTATATATATATATATATATATATATATATATATATATATGGGCCTAATCAAATGAGAACTGATTAGTTTGTGATAACTGTGAGATCCAATCTCAACCACAAATCAATGGATAAATTAGAAAATTCAGGGCCGTCTTAATCTTTTTTGGAGGCCCTGTTACCACATATTACTATTATAGTTCATATAAAACAAGTAATAAACAAGACAAAATATAAAGTTAAAATTGGTCAATTGAAGATTTTACCAATGGGTTTGTCCCAAAGAATCCCATGGTTACTTTGCTTGGATACTTCTTTGTTATATATCGACATATAACTCGTAATTATGTTATCAACACAAAGAATCCTTTCGTTTTCAGTAGTTCAAGTCAAGTATATACGTATTTCCAGAAAATAAGTTCACTTTTGAATCTTCATGGATGGGTTGGGACATGACAGAAAAGAAAAAAACTTGTTTTCTCAACTTTAGCCTGACAATTAAATTACTAATCTGATTGCAATCAGGGAAATAAGACACGATAGATAAATTACTAATTTGATTGTAATCAGGGATCTTGGAAAGTAAGGAAACAATATCATCTTTAAAAGGTTAAAGCAAATGTGTAGATATTACCAAATAGGGTGATTTCATCATCTTCAAATGATGGAACTTGGCCAAAGGGTTGTATGAGAAAGAGTAACAGAGACAAGTCAATGGGATACCATTTCTTAGAGACATTAAAACAAACAGTTACAAGACTTGAATCAAACTATATTAATCTTCGTAGCAGGTAATTCAAAAGGGGGGAAACAGTTGCATTACTTCAAATTCTCCACAACAATAAGCTAAGAACACAAGAAATTAGACCATAATTTGTGGAATTGAGAGATAAGTAAATAAGGAACAATGAAAAATGTGAGTAACCCCGATAGAATCAAGTAAACAATTTGAAGTTTTGATTTCTGAAACTAAAGACTAAAGTGTAAAGTCCCAAACAGTAAACAGACAAACAGTGTGTTAATTTTGGTTTCCTAAATGGCTAAATCCTAATGTAAACAAAATGAACATAAACATAAGTTACATAATCTGACTATCTAAGTATGATATTTTCTCAATCAATGAACCTAAACAAGTAAATATCAAAAAATTCGAAAAGAAACAAAATCGGTAACTCAAACCCAAAATCAGTAACCAAAATCAAAACCAGGAAGGAAATCAGTAATCCAAACCAAAACCTAAAGCAAAATCGGTAACGAAAAGCAAATAAGTTGCTTCTTCAATCAGGTGGTGGAAGAATATGCAATGTTGACCAAAAAACCAATGATCATGGTTGAGGAAAACCATGTTCTGGTGAGGTCCGATGAACAAAATAGTCATCGAAAAAAATGGACAAATATTGTCAAGCGTCAAAATAGGTCATACCATATCGTAGCCGTTGGAAAAAAAATGCAAGCAGCCATCGTGGCTCCGCCTCACCTTGACTCGCCGAAAAAAATGTACCAAAATACTTCTAACCCAATTTAACGAGAGATAAATTTGGTGAAGATGAGAATGATGAATTAGGAAGGGTTGTAGAACAATGAATCAAGATGAACCGGGAAGATTGAAGCGTCTTAATGGAGAAGGAAGGGTGTGAATTTGGGCCCCAAAATTTTGGGGGACCCTGTTCTCAATCACAGTTTTAACAGGCCAAGGGACGGGCCTGAGGAAATTAATAATTATGGTAGTTTGAGTTAAAATTATAATTAGAGGGTATATTAGGTATTTTAAAAAAACTTCTCTCTCCTCTCTCATCTCTCCGACCTCCAATTTTTGGCCTCCGGTGAAATCGGTATCACAGTATATCACAATGGGTATCACATTGTGTATTACAATGGGTATCACATTGTGTATCTTTGTTTTTTAGGTTTGAGTTGGTATCACAGTTGGTATCACAATGATATCACATTGTATATCTTTGTGATTACTTGGTACTTGCCGGATTAATATTCACCGGAGGCTGGAAATTGGAGGCCGGAGAGAGGAGAGAGGAGAGAGGAGAGAGGAGAGATGAGTTTTTTTTAAATACCTAAAATGTCCTCTAATTATAATTTTAACTCAAATTACCAAAATTACTAATTTTCTAATTTATCCGTTGATATGTGGTTGATATTGGATCTCACAGTTACCACAAACTAGTCAGTTCTCCCTTGAATGGACCCCTATATATATATATATATATATATATATATATAGAGAGAGAGAGAGAGAGAGAGAGAGGGCATTTTAGGTATTTCTAAAAACTCCTCTCTCTTCTCACCTCTTACCTCTCTTCGATCTCGGATCTCCGACCTCCGATGAACATTATTCCGACCGATATCAAGTAATCATTGTTATACACAATGTGATACCCATTGTGGTATCACTGTGATACCATTGTGATACCAACTATGATACCAACCCAAACCTTAAAAACAAAATCAAATCCATAATCTAAATTTAAGGAATACATATCGATCATCCACGTTGTGATACCCAAAATACATACAAGATGCAATGTGATACCCAATGTAGTACCAATTGGGATACCACTGTGTTACATCTCCGATCGACCACACAAATGACCTCAGTGTGATACCCAAGCACATATATGATGCATTGTGATACCATTGTAGTATCATCGGAGGACGGTGGCCGGAGGACAGAGGACGGAGAGAGAAGAGAGGAGAGATGTGAGGAAAGTTTTAAAATACCTAAAATGTTCTTGCATTGAATTTGAATTCAAAATTACCAAAATTATAAATTTCCTAATTTATCTATTGATTTATGGTTGAGATTGGACCTCACGGTTACTACAAACTAATTAGTTCTCATTTGATTAGGCCTATATATATATATATATATTATATATATATATATATATATATATAGAGGTTGGTTCAAATAGAAACCAACTATATGGTGCAAACTAAGCTAACCAACCTTAACCAATCACATTCTTTCTTCACTTTAGGTTCAAATCTAAATTATAAATTAATGATAAAGGTAATTTTGTAATTTAACCTTTTTGTAACMCCCTAATAATTAATTGGGAGTTACAAATCTTAAAAGATACCTCTAATTGATCATGAGATTTTTCTGATTTCTTTATTATTTCATGTTCATGTTCTTCTTTTCAAGTTATGTTCTACATATATTGAAATTGGTTGTCTAAGTGTACAAGATTTTCGTTTCGTTCAAGATACATGGAGAATTCTATTGTAAAAGAATATCAGAATAATGAAAACGATAAATGCTTGCAGTCTATGTTCATATCTGCACACATGCACAACGATCCTTGATTTTGAAAATGTTCATATATGTGCATCTCTTGCAGTCTATGTTCATATATGTTCACCATATGAACAATTTGTTTTCATTGAAAGACACAATCGTTATTCACACGAACCCGTGACGATGTCATACGGTATGACATTGAAAAACATCACA